TATATATATTTATATAAATTACTACAGAAATTAATAACCAGTGACAAAACATACAAAATGCAATAAGAACGCCACGCAGGAGAATAGCTTAGTCTCATCCCTGCACTGTCAAATAGACACATAAGTATGATTGGAGAAGGAGAGGCTAAATATTTCACTGTCAGAGAAGGTAGAAACCTGCGATTCATTTCTATCTCGTGTGCTTTAGGACAATGACAATTTAATACAACACCAGAGGATGTAAAAGAGATAAAAACTGAACAAACTGGGCCAATGTAATCAAAGATTTCCTCCAGAGAGATGGCTAGAGCCGGAGCTCATATGCACTTATACGAGATCAACATTGTATTGTTTCTCTCTACTATGAATTTGCTATGAAGCAAATTCAAAGCAAAAGCTTATCTGTTGTCTCAACTTTAAAGTTCGATTGCCATCTCTCCTATGTTCTCTTCTTCCTTCTAAATGCTTCCCGTGTAAGTCTAAAAAGTTTTTTAAAATCTTAATTGGTTTAATAAAAATCATTGCTTTTAATTGTCACTTGCATGTAAAGTATCAGCCATAATAAGCATGCATTTTAATTTCTTCTGTGAAATAATTATAAAGTAATATTCCTCAGGGCCGGGCATCACTTTTCAAAGAAGACAAAGAAATATTTTGTTTAGTCACTAGGCTAAACCAAATGTTGAAATTTTTTTCACAAGTAATATTGGACATCAATGATATTGGACATTATGTCTATCTTCCAAAGGAACCATCTCCTCTTTGTCTATAATTCTGGCAGGAAGGAGGTATTGTCAAAGTATTGTTAAATAGAATCACAGAAGTTAGCTACCCTCTTTGATGAATAGCACCAGGTATCTGAAATTAATTGCCAAAGTATGGCCTGGCTAATGAGACGGCTCTTATCTTTTCCCACCACAGGAAGCACAGGTATTTTTCTGCTGGCTCAATATTTTACAAAAATGCCTTAAAGTGTTATTAGCTAAATAAAAACCTGATTACAAGAGCTCAAAGAAATAGAGGCTCATCAATTCTGGGGTCTGGGATATTTGGGGTTAAAATTGATCTCTGCCATTATTTCACTCTTCAAGCATTAATTTCTTTTCTTGTCCATTTTACTTCCAAAAGAACCACCACAAAAAGAATCCTTCCTTCTGTTCGCATCTTTAAAAGCTAAATTCCAACAGCATTCTTCATGAGATGGCCAATATATATCACAAGTCAGATTAAATCAAAGAAAATCTCAAAGGCTATCAATTTAGATTTTTTTATAAAAAGGAAAAGAATACCTTATGCAGGAAAACACTAGAAAAATGATCATTCATGCAAGGGAATTAATGGATATCCACAAGGGCTTTGCTAATAACAAGGGTTAATTACCACTGCAACACACTAGGCTCAGTAAATAGAGCAGCAGTACCCTAAACACATTAAGATGAGAGACCATCACTAAAAGAACCAGCCAACACCAGCACCATTGCCTCTGCCAAAGAAATGGAAAGCTGTTGTCTAGTTCTGTCTGCGAAAGGAGGGTATGTTAAACTCTCTTCCAACTACGTGCAGGGTAACACATACATAAATACCTTTACACAAAGGACAGGTGCTTTTCCTCACCACCCCCATTCAACATGTATTCCATTAACTCAGGAACACTTTCTGTTTGATTTTTTTTTCTGTCCTGTTGTTTTATTTTATTTTATTTTTTGCTTACTTCAAGGTGGGAAAAAAAATCACATTACCTAATAATACACATCATCTGGCTATTTCAATTTTCTATAGTTTGGGAACTGTCCCATGGTTATTTAATTCTTAGAAAACCAGAATGACTGTGTCTGATTTCATGATACTATGGGCAAGGTTATGAGAGGGAACAGCTTCAGGATCGCTACTCTCACTGCTGTTCCTTGTCACTTCTAGTAATTTACAGAGAAATCATCAGAAAAACCCCATCTATGCCACCTACCTTTGAGGCTGCAGGTGTCTGGAACAGATTTACAGGGGAGAGGCAGAGGTAAAAGTAAAATGAGGCTCCCAAGTCTGGAGTTTTGAATATTCTTTCTTAGAAAAATAAACTTAAAGCGTCTCTTCATAGTTCCCAAATAACATAGTATCTAAAGTGGCTTGGGAAGGCTTCTATCTTTCCTTTAAAGATTGCATTCACATGAGTTTAGGTTTAGTTTGTTGCTGCTGCTGTTGTTTTAATAGATAAATTGTTTTTCTTCCTGTCTCTTTTCATCTCCTATATTTTGACATGATAGAATCCCTTGGAGTTAGTTGTATTTCAGTTTAGTCTTAGTTTTTAATCACAAGAGATGAGACAGAGGAAAAGGCGGGGTGGGGGGTGGGGGGGAATCAAAGCTCTGAAACAGAAAGAATGAACAACACAAAAGAAAACTTGCATGGCTGAGAGCCGTAATCTTCAAACATGAAACTGTTAAATGTTCAGTGTTCAGATTTCAATGATCAGGCTGGAATTTACTAAACTGTTCCCTGCTTTCCTTGTCTGTTTCAGTGTTTCAATTGCCTTTCCTTCTTCCAACAGCTGTGACAACTGTTAAAACAGTCAGTAAAATTAAGTCCGCTCTATAATCCTGTAGTGAATGTTACATTTTAATCAGAGGGTAGAAGGGACGCGTGTGATCAGCACACTCATTTAGAATGATTACATTGACACATATGTCAAAATGAGCAGATCTATTATTTTCATCTATTTATGCTATCAACTATTACTGCTATTAAACGTGAAACAAGCTTTCAAGTATTATGTTCTTTAATGTGTTGGCACATTTCCCAAAATTAAAAAAAAAAAAAAACATAGTTAGAGGTTAACATTTTCAGCTCTCTTTATGGTAGTCAATAAATTATATGAATCTGTTTTACAGCCTCCAAATCAGAAATTGCCCCATAGTTCCTTCAAAAACTGCCTAACTCTGGTTTCATTTCTATGTATACACACACGTGATAGGGTTTAACCCAGCACAATTACTATGAATATTAATAGCTTGTATAAATTCTGTGGTTTATTAATTGAGACAGAAAGGCAGATGCGTTGCTTAGCATTAGATCTTTCTGTCTGTCCGGTGAACCACGCAACCATCACAACTGCATCCAGACAATAAATCTGTAATTTTTTTTAAAGATGAGTTTTAATTGAGCCAAAAAGAAAGCTAGTTTGAATCTTGCGCCAAAGCCAAAAGGGCATGTGCACTGATTTCATTTAAATGCATCTGCTTTAAGAGGCTTATCTAAACTAATTATTCAAATTAGCTATAAGAAGTTAAATTCAAGGAAACTACTTTAGGAAGAACTCCTCTCTGAGGGTTTTATCCTTTGTTTCTTTAAAGTTTGTTTTGTTTATTTATTTATGAGAGAAAGTTCAGAATCTGAGTGAGCTTGGATGAGGCATGCTTCCTCACATGAATACACTTAAAAATTCTCCAATATTACCACCCGAGGTGCACGAACCTGCAAACTAAACTGGAGTAGGCAATCCTACCTTGGTTTATTTTCCATGTTTATTCTCATACATTTTAAGGGTGGTTCTTCTCTTGGGTATTTCAACCTGATGTAAACACAGCTTTTACAATCTTTCAGTCCTCCTGAATTCTTCACTTGACTGGTGTCTTCAGTGAGTGTGGCTGTGTGTGGCTGTGTGTGTGTGAGCATACACATACACACACACACCACATGCACACACACGCACACACACACATACACACACACACACAGGAGCGGCCACTGAGATTGCAGTCACTTTTCATTTCTTACTTAATTATAAAGCCATGCACTATGCAGGCACTAAGGACAGCTAGTGGATACCTACCTATAAAACACTAGCCCCATCTTCCAGAGTTCTATATTTTCTTTACAATCTAGAGAGAAAAATGTTTGCCAAGAGCACTCTTTTCAGAATTATAAGAGTTGGTATTACTGTAATGTAAGAGCAAAGCAATATAACTGACTCAACAGAAAGAGATAAACCGGTGGCAGCCCCCTTGATGTACGAATATTTTATCTTAACGCTGTGTTGAAATTAAGTTTATGACCTACTCATTTACACAAGAATGTCTAATTGACTTCCCTTGGCCCCCCCTTCTCTCTAACCTTGAGTCATCCGAATATATAGAGATATAGTATATGTCATGGGCATAAAGATATTCATAAATACAGATTAACTCTATACAAGAATGAAAACACTTCTCTACATTTTCTGAACAGGATACCTGAAAACAAACCCACAACCTGAGCATTGACTAAGAGGAAATTTTAAAAGTCACTACTGTTTCTTCTTTAGTTTTTTTTTTTTTAACTCTTCCCCCCCCCCCCCCCCCCGCCCCCGCCCTTTAAATATTTATAACGTGTGGAAAATCTCATGTTACTTAATGGACTGATTTGTCAGTTAAGTGGTGACTGGATGCTAACCATGCAAATAACATTATTCTAGCTGTGAATTGCACAGAGCTAGTTTTTAAATTGTTCTCTGAAGGAGAATTAGTAAATGTACAATTTTGCCTCTAACTCTGCCCGGTAAGAAATGACAGGGAGCTGAAAATATCTGTCAAACTGCAAATACATAAGAGGCACTCAATAGTATAAATCATTTTGAATATTGTATTTTAAAACATCTTTCCTTGGGAGAATGGATCCTAGTAAAAGATGCATTTTAACAGTTCACTAAGCATTTGTGCCAAGTGTCTATTCTTAGCACCTGAATAAGAAGTAGCTGTCACACAGCTGTTTTAGTGACAGTTCCTGAGATTTGCCTCAAAGGTAACACTGTAGTCAGCGAACAATTCTCCACTTACTGAATTAGGAGATCACCCTGGACACAAAAGGCACAAGACAGACACAAACAAACACGTACACACACACACACACACACACACACACAATACCTCAGGGCATTACCTGTGTCAGTGTGCAAAGATTCATTCCGTCCACCCCAGCACCACCACCCCCTTAGCCCCGAGTTTGAAAAAGAAAGGGAAAAAGGTACCTACTCTTCTTCGTAGTGCAGGGAAAAAGATTCAGGAAGGCAAAGTTCTACCGAATCCATGTGCGACCGGCAACCATTATTTGTGCACCCCAGCTATAAATCAAAGTTTTCCTTGACAGGGCACTGTGCAATTAACACAAATGTTCTCCTAGCCACAAGCCTATGGGCACCGCCAGTTGGGACCAAAGCTCTCACACTCTCCTAATCAAGGACTTAAAGCCCCGATTGGAGCTTATGAATATGAAGTAGGGCTTTACATATGCAATCCCACCGGCCCAGGCGCGCAGCTGATTGGGGGACCTCTGCCCAATCAGGAGGGAGGCGACGGGAGACTGCACCGGGCCAGCGGCAGAGTCAGGCAGGTAGGCAGGGTGCAGAGAGCCGCCAAGGGGGCTTGGAAACTGCCGGGTGGGAAGGCAGAGAGGACCGAGACCCAGGAAAGCTCCTCATAGATAATCGGAACATTTTCCTCCCTTCCCCCTCCCCTGCCTTTTTGTTTCTTTTCTTTTCTTTCTTTTTTTCTGGGATGCTATAGAAAGCCACATAACTAATTTAACTCTCTGTGCACTGGAGATGTTTGTCTTTGGTTTGCTCACCCTAAGAGCTATTTTGCTCTGACAAGAAGAACAGACTGTCAGTTAATTTGGGCAAGGATTCTGCGGAAGGTAGAGAATTAAGTTTGTTCCCCCTTGGTGGGGGTGGGAGGGGGGGTGATGGGGAAGGAGGGTGGCCGCTTCTTTAGTGCTGTACTTTCTTTCTTATTTGTTCCTCATCATGGCTTGCTGCCCTGATGTATAACGGGCATTGACAAAATAAGACGTTCTTGTTGGTTGGATTGCTCTACCTAAGGTGGTACACAGTTTTATAAGCTGCAAGAAGAGATCAGAGTAACAAATTAAGGGAATGCCTATGCAGATTAGATGTATGGACATTTCTATACCTGCTCCCTTCGCTATACAAAGTATCTCCTTTCAAAACATTTGCAGGGCAAATGGGCATCTTCAGTTTTGGGGTGGGAAACAAGGCTGAAAGGAAAAGTAGTGTACTAATTGTATCTCTGCATTTCGATTAAATACTCAGCTATGGTAGGAAAGGTGTTAATAAACAATGCTCTGAAAAGTATCCTTCATTACACAGTTATTTCAATATAAATGTGCAAACCAGGAGATGTACAGTAAGAGGTAGCATTTTATACACAATATCCCACTTTCAAATAAAACATTTATTTTTATTTATACAACATATCCTATATGCTGTTTTTTTTAAAATCAAAGCAGAAATAATATAAACCATCTCTCAGCATGGTCACTATAGGAAGTGGTTTTCAAAGAGAAAATTTAGAAAACTGAATTTGCATTCTAAACCGTCATCAAAAAAGAAAGAAAAAGCAATAGAACGTAAGAGGAAAACTATATTCCCTTAAAATAACATTGAGCTGGTTCTTAATTTCCTGATAACAAGAAGTAAGCTTAGTATCTGCTTAAACTATAAGCTTTTCTACACTAACAAATGTATGTTGGAATAGATACCAGCTATTTATGGCAGAGGTAACTGTTAGCTTACGGGGAGTGAAAGACCCACAATTTTGATATAATCCAGCTTGGTTGCTTATCAACTTTTGCATCCCAAGTCTTACATGATAGAACTAGTATAATCTTTAAGATCAAAATAAATCAGTTTAGATATTCAGCATGTGTTACATTCACTAAATCAGAACTCAACCCTCTCAAGTTTTCTATGTCTTTGAAAAACAAAACACTGAAATAGATCAGCCACATTAAAATTCAGAATATAAAATGACAGACATGATTTTGTTCCCCCTCACACTGGGAAAAAAAAAGCAATTTCCTTGCCACCTATTTAGGTATATCTAAGGTATGAGTGTTATTCCTTTTATTTGTGGTATAAATGCACATAAGTTTTCAGATCAGAACTCATATAGGAAAAAAAAATAACCCACAACTGTGCTTCAGAATACTGTACAAAAGCAGGTAGTAAAAGCTTAATTACCACTAGCATTATGCTGTCTATATTGTTAAATGTGAACTCTGCAATTAAGATGTAAATTTGGTTGTGAGCAGTGAATTAAAAGAGCTTTGAGACGTAGAAGAAAATACAAGCATTCTGCAGACACCCAGAATGGAAAAAAAAATCCTCTACTCAGTCTAAAATCAGACATCTAATCAGTTTACAATATTAAAAAATTAAAAAGGCATTTTACAAAAGAAACCTGATTTTTTTCCTAAAATACAATCCAAGAAATAAAAAAAAAAAAACAACTCATATTGTTAGAAAGAAAGGCATCTTTAGACTCCTAGGATACCTGCCCTGATTTTTCCATAAATGAAATTTCTCAAGGCGATTTGTAAGTTCAATAGTATGCATTTTTAAAAAAGGATATACCCCCTCAGAAAAGTTTCCTTCTCATTATTTTTTTACTAGGAGCATTTATTTTTAAAAAATCTTTAATATACTCAATGAAGGCATTCTGGGGATGGTGCCTCTTGTGCTGTATTTTGTTTCTTTGCATTATCCTTGTTTGACAGAATACATTTATTACTCTCCTTCAAAATGACTTTTTAAAGACAAGCTTTGTAGCCAGTTATTTACTAGTGATCTTAAGTCATCATACTGCATAGAAAGTGATCCTTTTTTTTTTTTTTCCTTGAATCTTCTTATTTTTCTCTGGGTATTTCCTGGCCCTCATTAGGAGCCATCTGATTTCTCTGGTGTGTGTTTTACACATACTTAGGCTCACATTCATGTGGCAGTGTTTTCCTCTGTCAGTGCCCACAGAGAAACCTGTACAAACATTCACGGAGTCACCCCCTCATCTGTCAGGCTCAGTGTTCACTGCGCAGGCTGCTTTCTGAATGACCAGAAATAATATACTAGGCGTCGAGAGCTCGACTATGGAACCCCCAGGGATGAAATTGTCACCTACAGAAGCCAAGCACTTAAAATGCCACATTACTGTCTTGTATCCAGGTTAACCAATTAAAAATGTAAAAGCATAGCTATGGCACCGAACTTGTGAAGCAGCTTCTAGACTATTGCATGAATACCTTAGTTCAAGTCATCTCGACAGCTTTTCCCTAGTCAGAAGAGTTTTCTTGCCTCAAGAGATGGGAATAACTACAATCATAGGAAAGAAATATATCACATGCATTCTGAGCTTAAAACCTCCAGAATCTCAACTATAAAGAATTTCGGGTGGTTGGGGGTGGGGGGTGGGGGTAACAGATAAACAGCCTTAAGCTTAGCACATATTGTTAATCAGGCTAGACACTTCACAATCTTACCACCAGGAGTCTACCCAAATCAGGAGGAAAAAAAAAAATGAGCCAAACAAAAGGATTTCTGTGGATCATTTCACAAGGAATCTTAATAAAGTAGCTAATATCAGTCTATTATTCATCAGGGTCCCTGTCTACACACACTATCTCATGTTCCTTACAGAGTGCAGCCATAAACACCCCCAAAGCTTTATGTCAACTAATGCATAGGCACCAAGCAAACAATACACATCCTTGTCATGTGAAGAATAGAATAGTCGCAAACAAAACTCCAGTGGAAACAAAAGGTAGATTACTACGAGTTGTCTATAGCCGAAATGCTACTCTAGAAGTGAATTCTTATATATAAAGTGACAAGAAATTCACTCTTGCCCTTCCTATAGATTAAAAACTATTCTCAGTTCTCATCCTCTTTTTCAGGAAACTAACAGGATAAGTCTATATCTTACGTTAACATTAAAATCATGAAAACTTTTGAAAATTCATTTGATACTGTATGTCTATCCCTCCCCCCCCCCCCACACACACACATGTATTGGTCAAATATGTGGAACAAAACAAGGCACACAAATTTAAAACCTCCAATTACCTTGTGATCAGCCACTCCAGATTCTTTTTCTTAAGATCATAAACCTTTGAAAAATCTATTTAGGTTTTGGAATCATTTTCCCTGCTGCTATTTGATAGATCGTGGATGGTGTAATATATCATACTACAGAAAACCAAACCAGGACTATTACAAACTATCTGTAACCCCAAAAGAAAACCACCAAGAGCATCCCTTAAAGTACAGGCATGCAGAGTCAGGTGCCAAGCTCCCTCAAGAGCTGTATGGCCTTTAAGAGGACCCCCCCTTATCTGTTCCTTGTTCCCTCATCCATACACTGGGATTTCTATTGTGCTACAAACCTGCTTAAGAACACACCTTGTCCACGGAGAGCATGCAGAGTTCTTTCCAAGTCAGGGTGACTACTTTATATTACCAGCAAACCTCTATCAATTCATCATACCTCATTTTCTGTTGCCTTTCATTTCTAGGGCACAGGCTTTGATATTTAAATTATTGTCTCGATTGGCAAGAAGCAATCATTTCTGTTGAAAGTGATTCCTTCCACAGAAACATTTTTTTTAAAAAAACCCACAAACTTGCCTTTTAACAAACATCCAGTAAATCTATCCTATTCCCAAATTATGGAATCCATATAAAAAATGCCCTTTCTCTAGGGAATAATTTTGTTTCACCTCTGTAACCTACCAAACTCTTTACATAGTGTTTCTGTGAAAGTGGAAATTCAAAAGGAAAAGGAAAGAAAGACAGGAAGAGAGAGACAGAGAGAGAGATACACACACAGAGAGAGAGAGGCAGAGAGAGAGAGAAAGAAAGGAAAACTAGGAGAGACAGAAAAACTAATAGAGGCAATTTGGTTTCTGCTTAATTAATTCAGGATTATTTCACTTTCATTTTGTCAAGCTAATAATATACATGGTGGAATGTCAGAAAAAATTAAATTATAAACTACACTGCCTCCAATGGGAAAACTGACTTTAGTTATGTTAGATTTGGCCTGGTAAAATATCAAATGCATTTTGTATTATTCTGCAAGCTTTCCATAATCTTCATAGCATGTATTTACAGAGTAATAGTTAACATTTTGAGATTATCCATTAATAAATGAGTTACAGTTATATTCTTTCCTGCATGTTAAGCACCAGGAGTTAAATTCAGAAAATATTCAAGGTCAATGTCCCGTTTTAGACCTTTGCAGGCAGCTGCAATATTATGATAATCAAGCTTAAAATATTCCTATAGAAAGAGTAAATTAGCCTTTTCACTTGAAAGATGATTATGATAAACAATAAACCTA